CAAGAATTAGTATGAAAATTATAATTACCTCTACGATAAAATCCACCACATCTACATAGTTTCATTAGCATATTATTATATTATATTAAATTAGAATATCTTTATTCATCATTTGTAATTTGAAATGCCTGTTCAAAATTGATATGAAACATGTTGTTAATGTCTTTTGAATTCATATTCACGTAGAAAAAAGAATATGGAGCAAAATTAACGGCTTGATGATACATATCTAATAATTGCTGTTTGTCAACAATGGCGCTATTTTCTTCAATAAAACTCATTAATTCACTGGCATTTTTCAACCTAAAAATATATAATGAACTGGCATTTAAACGAATGATAGGCGCCAACACATTATATTTCTGTGTTGAACAAATTACGCTTACTGCATCGTGCCTACCTCTTGTAAATAATCCATGTAATAATTTACTATATCTAACAAATTTAGGATCGTCGGCATGATCGTCTATAACGATTAATATTGAATGTAGTTTCTTTATCTTTTTAGATTTCATATAATTAATTATTTTCTTCTGTCTTTCAATTACATTTTCTAAATCACTTGGATTATAATTATCAAAATAAATTTGTTCTTTTTCATCATCCACGTGCAATTCATCCCTGATATATTTTTTAACTTCTGTAAAGGTTGGGTCATTATGAACGCTGGGGGAAAATATAAATATTCTTGCAAATGAATTTCTATAAACATTTAAGATAAGGTTCTGAACCAAGACTGTTTTGCCACCTGTCGAACTCGCAACTATAATACTTCTAAATGGTAATTTTGGCACGTGCTCATATTTAGATTGTTTGAATTCATATTCAGTTATGTTTATTGGCTTTATTATTGGAACATCTGACATAATAAAATAATATTAAAGTTATTTAGAAAATATTTTATATTGATTATTTTATATGAATAGAAGCTATTCAGATTATATCAATATAATAGATGAAGTAGAGAATATAGAACAAGTTGTTATAACTGATAATAGATGTAAAAAAATATGTTATTTTATTTTAGAATTAATTAAGTTTGTGATACAATATATCAAAAATAAAAATGTAAATCTTAATATAAATGGGAAGAAAGACAAAGAATAAGACTGAACCAGTTGTTTCTTCAACTGATGAAGAAAAAGAAGAAATTGTTAAAGAAACATCAGTTATTGAGTTTGCTTGTCCAATGTGTAAAAGAATATTAGAAATGAAAAATGAATTAGAAATTCAAAAGAAAGGAAACTGTAAATGTTCGTGTATTCCGACAAGTTTCAAACTAAGTAAGAATGATAAAAAAATGAATATTGATAAAACTAAAGACAGTATCAACTTAGAAACAGATGTTCATAATATTGCTATACGCTTTGGGAGGGGAGTTACTCCATCCGATAATGGTGATAAGGAAACTCAGGAAACTATTAAACAAATGATGAAAAATTAGTAATTAAAAAGTAGATTTAACATAATTTAAACATTTAGTTTTAAAAGTTTTATTTTATAATATAATATATATATTTACATGGATGAAGGATTAGAAAAGATGGTTAAAAAACTGAACAAGGTTTTAGAACAGAATAAGAATATTTTAGAAATCTTGCAAGAAATGGAAAAGAAGAAACCGCTAACAAACAGTTATCAAAGTAAAGAAGTAGATCGAACCAATGGTGAATATAAAAATAAAAGAAATATTTATTTAAACAAACTTAATAAAAAAGAAATTAAAGAACCGAAGGCTTCAACTATGACATTTTATCAAATTGACTATGATGAAGATACAGGGGTTTATTCTTGATTAAAAACATGTTTCTCTGAAAATCCGTTTAAAGACATATTGGCATAACTAATATTATGAGTTCTACAGATGATGAAGAAGAAACAGGATGCACAATGGTTTATCCTTGCAGTAAATGCGACGAAGCAAAGCCAAGAAAGGACTTTCACAAAATGTATGACAGAATTAAAATGGAAGAGATATTTTACAAAACATGTAAGGAATGCAGAGACAAAGTAAAAGCAACAAAAGAGTTAAGGAAGGAACAGAAGAAACGAATACAACCCCTGGAAATACATAGATTAAAGCCTTTGATACCATAGTTTTGCTATACTTACAACATGTAAGATCTTATATGTTGTAATTATAATTCGCTTGATTTAAAAGTTTCCCTGAAAATGTATTTAAAGAAATATTACCTTAATATAATAAGAGGAAAATGAACGATGATGAAATCAATAATTATATCAATAAAAAATGCTATGATTGTTGTCACTTCAAAAAAGAAAATATGGAATTGTATAAATTAAATTTACCTAATGAAACAGTGAATAATATTATTAATTATTCAATGGATGAAGAAGATTTATGTAAAATTTGTAGAAATTGGAGATATTATCAAGAATTAATCAGATGTCTGTTGGGAATAAAAAGAATTCGACATAGAAATGTAGAAGATGATATTTTAATATTTCTAACTGTAAATAAAATACCACCTTATGATTATGTTAAACAGTTTCTTAAAATTAGTATGAAAAAATATGGAATGATGGATGATATATTATGGTTGTTGTGTTATAGTCAAGATAAAGGAGAAGATGTTAAAGAAAATATCAAATTATTTATTGAAAGTAAAAAGTTTAATGTTCAGAATACAGTGAGAGATGTTAATATTATTTTTAAAATGATGTATGAAAGAAGAAAGATTTGTCAATTAAATTATTATCCTGTACTGAAATTATAATCATACTATAATAATAACATGTAAAATCTTATATGTTATAATTATAGTGGTAAAAATATTTCTATAAATATATAGTTTCTCTGAAAAAGCGCTTAAAGAAATATTACCTTAATATATTAAGTAAAGTATGCGCGACATTAATAATCTACCATTGGAAATTAGATTGAATATTATGTCATATCACTGTTATGATATATGTCCTTACAGGTTTAATGATATTCTTAAAAACCATTTTCCAACTTGGGAAAGAGTAAAAAGAAACCCATTCTGGGCAATGACTTTTCCTGAAGCATTGGATGATACCAAATCTGACTATGAAATATATTTAGAATTGAAAGCGTTCTATAATTATTCCTACATATATGATATTGAAAATAAATTTAAACAGCTCTGGTTCATTGATAGTATTGATGACAAAAGAAAACACTTGAGAATTGGTTATTACGACGCAATGAGAGCACTGTTGGAAATGATGCCATTCAGAACAGAGGCAGCATGGCATATCCGATTTTATCATATGTTAAGCACGGAAGACTTCTATGACGAGGATGAAGAATTTAGCGATAATGAAAGCACGGCTAGCTATTATTGAGATGAATGTTTCAGTTCTTGATTATACTATACTTACAACATATAAGATCTTATATGTTGTAATTTTAGTTTAATTTTCCCGTATAAGCCGTGGAGGTGCTTTCCTACATAGGCCTTTCCCATCCGCATATTGCCATCCAATGTCACACAGATTATTTTCAAGATTTGGGTTAGCGGTTTTAATTCTCCCTTTTCCATTGGTTAACCTTTTTTCGGGGCGAACATAGCGTTCTTTTTTAGACTGTTCGTATTTGTTGGAAATGGGAAAGGGTCTCAGGTTGGATCAAGGGAGAAATTATTGAGATCTTGGGGTTGCGATCTTGGGAATGGAAAAATGTTGGTATGTAGCTTGGATTTTTTTTGTGGGATTTGTTGAGGTGGTATGTAGTTATGATTGTTGTTATTGAATGAGTGTAAGGGTGATGTTGAGATGGGGTAAGAAATGAAGATGGGTGTGTGAATATGTGTTTTTTGGTGTTGGAGTGGGTGGGTGATTGAATTTGAATGTTGAAAATAGGCTGTTTTAGTGGGCGTATTTGAATTGTGCCCAAAAGTGTGGGGGGGACCCTAGGACCGGATGGCAAAATGCGGACGGGAGAGGCCTCCACTAACTAGCAGCCCCCCCATGATGTTCGAAGAATTGATGATTCAACTAGGGTGCAATTAAATAAATCTCTGTAAACGTAGCGGGGGGGTTGGGGTGGGCGGCAGCCCCCCCCATGATGTCGGAAGAAGTGATGATTCGATTAGGGGTGCAATGATTCAAGAAAGGGTGCGATAGAATTTAAAAGGCAGCGGGAGGGTTGGCGGGGGTGGCTTCCCCTATGATGTTCGAAGAAGTACATACATACAGACATACATGGATTACACGTAATACCTAAAATGTCGTATTTTGCAGCATTTTCTCGCAAAATTGGACGCTCGAAAAGTGATGATTGAACTAGGGGTGCAATTCAATCTCTGCAAGATAAATCCAAAAAATAGCGGGGGGGGGGGGGGGCTGCCGCCCCCCCCATGATGTTTGAAGAAGTGTTGATTCAAATAGGGGTGCAACTACTCTGGCAAGCAATCTAAACAGTAGCGGGTGGGTTGCGGGGGGGGCTTCCCCCCCATGATGTTCGAAGATGTGATGATTCAAATAGGGAGGAACTGGTGATGCTGATGATGCGGGAAGCCACATCCAAAAACAAATGAAAGGGTGCAAAAGCCAAAAAGCCCGGACAGGAACTGGGAAAGCAGAAAGCAGAGGATGCAAAAAGCTAAAGCCGCCAAAAGCCGCATAAACCAGCGAAAAGCCGCAAAAGCCAAAATGCCACCTGCCGAAGAGGAACTGGGAATGCAAAGGATGCGAAAGGCCAAAGCCAAGAAGCCGAAAAGTCCAGAAGCTGAGAAGCCAAAAAGCCAAGAAGCCAAGAAGCCGAAAAGCCAAGAAGCCAAGAAGCCAAAAAACCAAGAAGCCAAGAAGCCAAGAAGCCAAAAGCGGAAAAAAAGGAAAAAACACCAACTCCTTTTAGTTATTTTAGTGGAGATTGGGGTGTTCACTGGGGTACGGGGTTTTGACCCATGGCCATGTGGCCAGCAGGCAATATTTCTCCAAACCAGCAGATGCACGCCAGACGCAATGATGCCTCAGCATGGCCTACTCCACGGCTCTGGCCAGCGCCAAGCCGCAACATCATCCACGACTCGTAGTACCAGAAGTCGGGCTCAAATCCTTGCGTCCCCAAGGCGACAAGCACTTGCCGACCATGCTGACGCGTCATCTACCCACCAAGGTAATTGAACATGTGGCGAGCATCAAACACAAATCCGCCTCAAGTGCGTGTGCATATTCAAGAAGGGGACACCGCCGCAATGACAAAGAGACAACAGTGTTGCCCCCAAGAGGTGACGATTGAGGCCCCGGCCATCGTAGAGGAAGCCGAAGACCCCCCACATCTCCCGGCTCTGGAGCGTGTACTTTGTCCGCTTCAGGAGCCTCTGATATTGAGAAATCGCACTGATGTTCGGCGTTGGGGCGATCCAAAGCCAGCCAAGCTGCATTTTGGGAATGAGGTAGAGGATCAAGGGGATGCCGAAGGAGAAAAGCAGCAAGCCAACGCCCGATGCAAGCTGCCACTGCAAATGACTTGTCGCTCTGCAGTCAATGCCTCCGGTGGATTTAGGGGGTTGCCACAGCGCAGCTGACGTCAAAGGGGCAGGAAACAAGAACCTATTAAACACCAAAAAAAAGAGTCCCGAAATCAAAAATATCTCTCTCTCTCTCTCTCTCTCTCTCTCTCTCTGGCTCTCGCTGCGCCATCCCGAAGGTCCAGCAGTTGACAGTTGGGGCGCCAATGCTCCGCAAAAGCAACAATCAGGCAAAGCTCTCAACCAACCCAGCATTCACCAGGTCCCCTGCCAAGAAAAAAGGGCACCATGTTTCTGAAAAGCATGGTGAAAAGACTGCAAGCGTCAAAAACAAACTTGTCGGGCATGGCTGGGCTTTCTTTGTTTAGCCTTTGTTGGGGTTAGGTTTACTGCGTGATTGTTTAGGCTCGGGTGGGTTTGAGGTGGGTTTAGGGCTTATATCGACCCTAAACCCATCCTAAACCCACCCCGAGCCAAACAACCCTAACCAACCCGCAGAAAATCCACCCTAAGCAAAGAAGCCCCAGCCATGCCCAACAAGTTGCACAGCCCCCCCCCCCGGGTTAGGGGGGGGCCAGTGTCAAAGAACCTTCCTCACTTTCTTTCAAAGCTTCCTTACTTCTCCTTCCTTCCTTCCCTTCCTTCCCTTCCTTCCCTTCCTTCCCTTCCTTCCCTTCCTTCCCTTCCTTCCCCTCCTTCCCTTCCTTCCCTTCCTTCCCTTCCTTCCCTTCCTTCCCTTCCTTCCCTTCCTTCCCTCCTTCCCTCCTTCCCTCCTTCCCTCCTTCCCTCCTTCCCTCCTTCCCTCCTTCCCTCCTTCCCTCCGTCTGAATAAGTTTCTTTTTGATACCTATCCTGGTTTGAGAGGCATCCCAGCTTTCCAACGCCTGCAATGCTTGCATGCGATGACCAAGGGGCTCATGTCATACGTCCACCGAGCCGTGTCCAACGTGTTCTCTCCTGGCTAGGCCAGCACCAAGTACTTCCGTACCATTTGCCTGGGACCCCAAGATCCCTCTCCTGCGTCGGAGGAATGGCAGTTGAAGACTGCCAGAAGCGCCGATGTTACCATTGGCTGCATAAAGTACATCTCCAACACAGCCAGCGAGGAAAAGGAGAGCAAGATTCCTTGGAAGCAGCGCAGGCACGGCGGGCGACTATACAGCATCAGCACAGGCTTGCGATGTCATCCATTTAGCGTTACAATACTGACAACCATCCCTCATTAAAACCAACTCCAACATAGGTATGACCCCGGCCTCCGCCACCAACCCTGCCCCTCTGTGCAACGCCGAGAAGCGCCACTTCAAAGGCCGCTTACCTTTGTGGTGACGAGGGCAACATAGTGACCAGCCCCACGTGCATCCACCCACCTCAGGTGCGTTTGAGGCTGGAGTCAGAGCACATCGAAGCCATCTTTGTCAGTCTTCAGGGCCAAGTCGTGCCTCCTCTCAACCAGTCTGAGCCCGAAAACCACGCAGGCACGGGAACCAGCGTTTCTGGATATTGGATTGGAACTACCCGCCATCCTTTCTCGATGCCCCATGCGAACCCTCGAGCCTTTGGCCAACCAGGTCTCAGGCAAGTCGCCGCGGCCAAGGTGAAGAGCAGCGCCACCGGGATCAAAAATCCCGCACCTCTTGGCGACAGTCCAAAGGTGTTTTTTTTTGCGATTCCATGAGACTCTCTCGGAAGGCTTCTTCGTGACTATGGCCCTTTTCACGTAACAAAATCCCCACATTTTGCCTGCAGACGCAGCTCAAGCCCTGTGCAAGCTGACACTGAGCTGAGCAAGGCACCGGCAACCTTGGCGTAATGGCTGTCTTGCGCAGAAGTGCCGCTTTCCATCATGAGGCACTCCTGAGCACAGTCGCAAGCCACAAGGAAACCACAAGGAAACCACAAGGAAACCACAAGGAAACCACAAGGAAACCACAAGGAAACCACAAGGACGCCAAAAGGACGCCAAAAGGACAAAAGGATCGATTCGCGTTGGACAAGGGACAACTCAGGAAACCCTCCGTCCCTTCCCTCCCACCGGATCCGAGCGGCCAGCGAGAAGATCGCCGTGGAGGGGTTCTCCAGCACGTCCCCGATGCCCAAGGACAAGGCCACGGGGGAGGTGAGGAGTGCCGAGCTCAAGCCCTCCGAGCTCAAATCCTGGAGCTCGACGGGCGGAAAACCCGGACAAGGAGGTCAAAAAATATCCTGGACCCGACACCCCCGGCACCATGATGTCTTTCTGTGCCGTCTTTCAAGGGGCTGAAACCTTGGTGGCTGTGATCAGGAGCTTCTACCAACCCAGCCTTGATGACCTTGTCGAGGTCCGTCACCTTGGATCGATCAACGCCAAGTTGCGACTCAATCTCCGCACCTGGCCTGGCCCAAAGCTTTCAGCTGCACAAAGAAGTTGCACAGGATCTTCAGGACGATGGAATAGACTCCTGGCAAATGGGAATCACCAGTTTGGCCGTTTAGCAATCTGACGAGGCCCGCAGCTGGCTGATGAACTCAAGACGGTCCTCGCAGATTTCCATGGCCGGCGTCCTAACACAGAGCCAAATCCGCATTGGTTCAAGATGACACGGCTAGTGTTCTTGCACTGCAAGAATCGAACCTGTCCTGCGACCAGGAGAGCAAGCACAGCCCAAGCATGCCACCAAAGGCCACACAAAAGATGACGGATATGGTGAGCCAGTTGGGGGGGCAGAGGCTGCAAATCTGGTCTGGCACACTGCGCTGGTAACCTGGGCAAGTGCAACCACCCCACAAGCTCGCCCGAAAACCTGCAAGCTCGCTTTCCAACAAACACCTCCATGCAGGCGAGAGGCCCAAGGCACAGGAGCCGCACATTGGCCCCGTCATGGCTGGCCCCTGCTCCCCCTCGATGCAAGTGTTGTTCCCCACGCAGGCCGATGGCGCAGAACACTTGAAAGGCCCCAGTGACGGCAGCGGGTCGTCCCGATCCCAGCAGTCAGCACAGGTCCTGAGACAAATCTGAGGGCCAGTGAAAGGAAAGTGCTTGAAAGTGCTTGCCGCCTGGCCTCATGGTCATGTTGAAGACCTTCTTCACCTGGACAGCTGCAATAGGCCCATCCGAGAGCACTATATTAGCTTTGCTCCTAGCTATGCAACTTCCAAGCTAGACACATTGGCATCAAGACATGCGAGGAGTCGCCAGCGATCCAGCCTCGCTCTCCGACCCCATGAGATAAAAGCCTTCGGCTGCAAAGAAGGTCGTCGCTCCAAGAGCGTCTGCACCGCCAGTACAACTTGGCATGCCAAAGATGCAGCACTGGAAAAAAGGGCCAAGAGCATGCTGGTTGAGACTTCATGGAACATGCCAGTCAGCATACGTGGCACCCTCTTTCACCCCTTGCCATCAGCTCAGCGCCCCACACCGCGCCCCTTGGGCAAATTGCGCAGCGTGACTGTCGCGACAAGGGATTGTAGCGCCCAGCAGGACAGGCCTGACACAAAAACTGCCTCTTTTGCAGCCGCCAAAGAGCACAACTCGAATTGCTGTGGACCGGCGCCTGTCCATCTTTCTCATCAGGCGAAGATCAGCCCAAGCAAAGGTCAAGCCCCAGCCCCCAAAATGTGCCGTTCCGTTCAACATGCGGGGGCGGGGGGGTTTCCAAACAAACCACGAGTGCTTCCCAAGAAGGACTTGCGCTAACGGAAAAAGCCGATGGACTCGCGAGACCTCAGCCGACCAGCCTGGCAGGAGGCAGTGGCGGCTTCCTGAGCATAGCGGCCCGGCGGGCAGTCCTGCATAGAGAGCTGTCAATGAAGCAACATCGCGTAGAAGCCATACAAAAATACATATACTTATATATATATATATATATATATATATTTGTATATATGTATATATAGAGATTCATAGGTATGAATGTGTGTAACAAATGAGAGTGTACGCGTAAACAATGCATGTTTATGGGTGCTCATATGGCATTTATGTATGAATTAAAGAGGCTAGGAACACACACACACACACACACACACACAACCTTGGAAACCATGGTTGTCTCCACGAGCAGGATCCGTCATCCAGGTGAGTCTGTGCGGTTCCGGCAAGCATGTCTGGCGGCTATTCAGGCTCGTTCCCTGAAATTCTTGCCATTTGCTTTGTATCTAAGAAGCAGGCCACTCCTGGCATCCCTCACCAAGGCTGTCAGGCATGGTTGCTGCCGGGCAGGGTGTGCAAGCCATCTGGTCCCCGGAAGGCACTGACCCAGCATTCTCCTCGCCAGGGCGCGAAGCTCAAAACCATTCGAATACCAATTGTCAAGAAGGTGCTAGTTGGCAATCAGCATAATCTTCAAGAGAGGAAGTGGGGCTCACTTACCGGCGATTTTCGGCACACGCCAGATCGTGGGAATGGCAGTGAGGCTTCTGCTCCCGTAAAGGAAAGAACTGACCCAAGGGCAGCCCAGCTCCGTGCTGCAAACGCGGCATCGTATGAATCCAGAGGTGCCATCATAGATAAGGGAGGCATTCCTGCGACGAAGCTCAAATGAAGTCAGGAAACCGCATCTCACCTGCCGCGACCTTCGAACTTCCCCCTCCTGGGGCAGGACAGCCGCACGCAATCTCTCTCGACAGCACTCCAGACCTTGCGGCCCCGCAACAGTGTGCAAACACCGGCATTCGTAAGTCATACCTCATAATACTTCCCCTTGCCATTCCCCATACATACCTTTCTGGTCGGCGGGTGCGCACAGCAGAAATAAGGCGCCAGAGTTGGTGCGAGGTGCTATATCCCCAATCTTTGGGTTCGCCGGTGGGTTGGTGATGCACTCGGGGACGCTCCGCTGCACCACCTCTGTCCTTAATCAGCGTGTTCAGCACTTCGCTCCCGCCATGCGTTTTGCAGACTAGCCCAAAGTTAGCGCTGCAGCCCACCCTTCACGCAGTGGCCGGCACAGTGACCAACTCACGGCTCTTGCCACAGCTTTGGCCATTTGCCCTAGACCGAACTCGAGCTAACCTCCGCTTCCGCTCAGAGAAAGTTTTAACATTCTTGCAGTGAGTTGTTGGGCTCCAACCCTTCAAGGGCCAAGAGTCTGATTTTTCAAGAACCAGCAAGCTGCCTCCTCGGTGGTCAAGTTGCCCCCACCCTGCTGGTGCATCGACAGCATCAGCTCCACCTCAGCTCTGTGATCTCTACCTCTTGCCTGGGAACCACTAGTCCTTTACGGCTACTTTGCTTGAAGCCCTTCGTCCTCAATTCCTCAACTGCAACCTCTGAGCATAGGCCACAGCCCATGCAAAAAGGAGCTCATCTCCAGTCCGAGAAACCTGTTCTTGATTAATGCGCAAGTGGTCAATGAGATAGGCAGCCTCGGAGGCCCGGTCCTTAGCCGAAGCTCGGTCCCCAGAAAGAACTCGTCCTTTTGAGGTTGGACACCCCAACTGGTGGTCCTCCTCGTGGTTCCGCTTTAAAGCCAGCCAACAGGTCTGTAAGGGCTGCGGATTTTCAACGTACACAGAAGTCATGTGATCTTGCAGCACGCAACTCATGCGATCTCGCCTAAAGAAAATTTTGATAGCCTAGACAACAAGTGGCACAGTCCCACCTAATCACCCCCCGTCTGCCCAAAAACCTGGCCGGGCTTCTGCCAAATCCTTGCGCCTCAGCTTGTAGATTATTGTGGGTGGTATATCGCATTTCCGCGGCCCACTCGGGTCCATGGAGATCTGCATGGCGCATCCCCGAAAGAAGTCAGGAAAGCTGACTCGGCCCTGGTTGTTCTGCAGGCCCCAGGATGAAGCCACCTCCGAGGGCGTCCAACCTCAGGTGCAAAGGACCGCACCGAGTGAGTACAAGGGTTTGGTGGCTGATGACAAAGTGCAGTCAAAACGCCGTAGAACAGGGTCGGCACCTTTCTCTCGAGCAGCTCATTCAAGAAGCTTACTTGCTTGCTGCCAGCATACGAGAATGCGACACCTTGCGCAGGCCAGTACCAAATGAAAAGCTGTCTGCAGTGGCTCAATGTGCTTTTCTGGGCCAGGCTGCTCATGTTGTGGTTTCTAATCAGCTGCTCGAACGTGCCTAGCAAGCGACGCTCACGGATGCCTTCGACTCAGCTGAGCCGATCAAAAAGTTGCCCCATCACCGGAGCCCCAACAGGCCTTGCGTCCAGGTGGGGAAGGCCATGATTGCTTCAGCGCAGGCTCCTTCCAGGCCATCAAGCGAACGGGCCAAAGCTCTGCCTGAACCCTGAACCTCAGCGCTACATTTTCAAATGTACAAAAACCAGCCACCACAAGCACAAGCCGTCGGAACCAATCGGACCAATCACAAGCTCTCGAAAACAATTGCTCCTCCTCTGCTGCAGGTCTCGGGCAAGTAGTGTCCAGGGATCTGTCCTGATTCTTTGGCCCGCGCCCCCGCCCCCCCACCTCACTGGGCTCTGGACCATCCCGGTGTAATTCCTTGAAATTTGACCTTGATGCCCCTATCATCTTCCCCGCCAACAACGGCCCAAACCTGTGACTGTTCAGCTGCGCACAACATTCTGCACACGCAGAGACACACACACATACACAAGCCACTCCTGTGCACCAAAAGTTTGTGGAGCCAGGCTCACAGGGGGCAACGCCCGTTCCATTGAGCTCCGCAGCTGTCACCGTGTGGTTGAAAATTCTGAAGCCACTGCCGGGAAGCTCTGCCGAATCCTCGGCTGTCACATGCGGGTTGATCAATATTCCTTTCCCGCAAACGACCAAGGGGAACTTTTCCCATCTGATGCGAAAAGTCATCTTTTCTGGTGGTTGTCCCCAATGGTCATCCTATGTAAAGGCATGCATCGCAGCAATCCCCCAATGTCACTCTGCCGAGCTTCATAGAACCTGTAGAAATCCGCAAACGGGATATCTCGGACCAAGCCAGGCATTGCAAACAGGCCTTCGCGGCCTGTCCAGCCAATCTCGCGAGGAGGAGATATGACCCCACTGCCCGAAATGTAGCTTTGCACCGCTGGATCAAAAACATCCACTTGCCAGTTCTCCATTTCTGCATCGACTTCGTTGCGTTCCAACAATCCGCTCCAGTCCTTACATGGGTAAGACGCAGAACCACCAAAATGATGCGTCAATGAGGAATGAACACGAGTTGCACTCTCGTCCAAGCCACTTTGGATACTACGCTTGTGATGTCCTCGTAGCGAACTGAGTACCCCAACTTCTCAGATAGAAGCATGCCCGTGATTGTGCGCATAAGGTCATGTGATAGCCAGTCGCGCTGCCCGAGCCGAATGACAGTTTTGGAGCGGTACAGTGAGGGTTGCTCATTCTCGAAGCATTTGAAATTGTCAATGGAAGAGGGCGCTGCACACATGCCCGAGGTGACATCAAAGACGTCAGCGGCGGCTCCTGCAACCCCGGTGACGCAGGGTGGCGCAACCACCTGCACCAAGTCATGGACGTGACCCTTCAAGAAGCTGCAGGCCGTCTGAGTCAACGCATCATGTGATGCGGTCGGCTGAGTAGACCGCAGAAGTTCCAGCAGTCGGCCAGGCCCGATGGTGAGCCGTGAGAGCATCCAGTAGGCTTCAGGAGCCTTCTCGAAGAGATCCCGCGAAATGAGCTTCACCAAGGATACGTCCGGGTAGTCTACCGCCAGAGATCCGTTAGGTGTTCTCTCAAAGTCCGCTATGACTGACACTGTCGAAGGGTCGGGAAAGGATATTCGCACTCCTCCAAAATGCTCGGCTCCCCAGTTGCTGCTCCAAGAATAGAATATGACCTGGGACATATGATATGATTGATACCCGTGATACTGCAAACAAAAAGGCGTCATGGCAAGATACTGCAAAATGTTGCTTCCCATAAGCGCAACATACGCACAAGCTTCGACCCAACCCAACACCCAGCCCTTACGTGGGATCATGCATAGTGCAAACCAGGCCATTGAAAAACAAACAAACAAAAAAGTTGGTAGGTAGGTAGGTACGTAGGTATGTGTGCAGGCTTCCATGCATGCATGTATGAATGTGTATGTGTGTGTGTGTGTGTCTGTGTGCATGTGTGCATGTGTGCATGTGTGCATGTGTGCATGTGTGCATGTGTGCATGTGTGCATGTGTGCATGTGTGCATGTGTGCATGTGTGCATGTGTGCATGTGTGCATGTGTGCATGTGTGCATGTGTGCATGTGTGCATGTGTGCATGTGTGCATGTGTGCATGTGTGCATGTGTGCATGTGTGCATGTGTGCATGTGTGCATGTGTGCATGTGTGCATGTGTGCATGTGTGCATGTGTGCATGTGTGCATGTGTGCATGTGTGCATGTGTGCGTGTGTGCGTGTGTGCGTGTGTGCGTGTGTGCGTGTGTGCGTGTGTGCGTGTGTGCGTGTGTGCGTGTGTGCGTGTGTGCGTGTGTGCGTGTGTGCGTGTGTGCGTGTGTGCGTGTGTGGGCGTGTGTGCGTGTGTGCGTGTGTGCGTGTGTGCGTGTGTGCGTGTGTGCGTGTGTGCGTGTGTGCGTGTGTGCGTGTGTGCGTGTGTGCGTGTGTGCGGGTGTGCGTGTGTGCGTGTGTGCGTGTGTGCGTGTGTGCGTGTGTGCGTGTGTGCGTGTGTGCGTGTGTGCGTGTGTGCGTGTGCGTGTGTGCGTGTGTGCGTGTGTGCGTGTGTGCGTGTGTGCGTGTGTGCGTGTGTGCGTGTGTGCGTGTGTGAGTGTGTGCGTGTGCGCGTGTGCGCGTGTGCGCGTGTGCGCGTGTGCGCGTGTGCGCGTGTGCGCGTGTGCGCGTGTGCGCGTGTGCGCGTGTGCGCGTGTGCGCGTGTGCGCGTGTGCGCGTGTGCGCGTGTGCGCGTGTGCGCGTGGGCGCGTGTGCGCGTGTGCGCGTGTGCGCGTGTGCGCGTGTGCGCGTGTGCGCGTGTGCGCGTGTGCGCGTGTGCGCGTGTGCGCGTGTGCGCGTGTGCGCGTGTGCGCGTGTGCGCGTGTGCGCGTGTGCGCGTGTGCGCGTGCGCGCGTGCGCGCGTGCGCGCGTGCGCGCGTGCGCGTGTGCGTGTGCGTGTGCGTGTGCGTGTGCGTGTGCGTGTGCGTGTGCGTGTGCGTGTGCGTGTGCGTGTGCGTGTGCGTGTGCGTGCGCGTGCGCGTGCGCGTGGGCGTGGGCGTGGGCGTGCGCGTGCGCGTGCGCGTGCGCGTGCGCGTGCGCGTGCGCGTGCGCGTGCGCGTGCGCAGTGCGCGGGCGTGTGCGCGTTGCGCTGTGCGCGTGCGCGTGCGCGTGCGCGTGCGCGTGCGCGTGCGCGTGCGCGTGCGCGTGCGCGTGCGCGTGCGCGTGCGCGTGTGCTCGTGCGCGTGCGCGTGCGCGTGCGCGTGCGCGTGCGCGTGCGCGTGCGGTGCGTGCGTGCGCGTGTGTGTGCGTGTGTGTGTGTGTGTGTGTGTGTGTGTGTGTGTGTGTGTGTGTGTGTGTGTGTGTGTGTGTGTGTGTGTGTGTGTGTGTGTGTGTGTGTGTGTGTTGTGTGTGTGTGTGTGTGTGTGTGTGTGTGTGTGTGTGTGTGTGTGTGTGTGTGTGTGTGTGTGTGTGTGTGGTGTGTGTGTGTGTGTGTGTGTGTGTGTGTGTGTGTGTGTGTGTGTGTGTGTGGTGTGTGTGTGTGTGTGTGTGTGTGTGTGTGTGTGTGTGTGTGTGTGTGTGTGTGTGTGTGTGTGTGTGTGTGTGTGTGTGTGTGTGTGTGTGTGTGTGTGTGTGTGTGCATGTGTGTGTGTGTGTGTGCGTGTGCGTGTGCGTGTGCATGTGTGGGTGTGTGGCGTGGCGTGCGTAAATCAAGACCGGCGGCGTCTTCTGGAGTCTCGTCTAGCTGAATCCTCCTCCACAGAAGCCCGTCGTTCCCAAGGTAGGCGAACACAATGGGCAAGTTCAGATTCTTCACCACCTGGCATTTGGAGAGCGAGCCGCAAGCGAACGGGAACGCAGTGAGGGAAGCACAAACACATCAAACGGCGCAGTCTCACCCAAAGGCAGGCCACAGAAAAAGAAAAGAAAACGCCAAGCACCAGCGGTTTCCCTTGGCGGAAAAAACGAGGTGCTGGGAAACCGTCCAAAGTCCAAAGTCTACCGCCCGCGCCTGCTCAAAATATCCTTGGTCCCAGGTAGGCTCGCCCATCACTGCCACGATGCAGGAGGAGATGTTCTGCACGCACTGGGACGGCGCCCAAAAACCTTCCAATTCCCCCGTGCCGCACCAGGGCAGCTCCTGCACGTTGCCTTGGGAAAAGGCGAGCCCTTGACTGGCAGAGTTCAACTGCATGGGTAAAACTGCAGAATGCTCTGGTCAACTAAGATTCCGGGCAAACTTTGCAATTCACACAGTACTTTTGCAACATGTGGGTGGTGGTGGTGGTGGCCAGTCTTGCAGTAGCAGTAGTAGTAGTGGTCGTGAAAGTACTGGCACCAGTACCAGCACTCAGCTACGCTACTCGCACTATTAGAATTGTTGCAGTAGTAGTAGTAGTAGTAGTAGTAGTAGTAGTAGTAGTACTAGTAGTAGTAGTAGTAGTAGTAGTAATAGTAATAGTAGTAATAGTACTAGTAGTAGTGGTAGGAGCAGTAGTAGTAGTAGTAGTAGTAGTAGTAGTGACAGTAGTAGTGATAGTAGTAACAGTGGTAGTAGTCATAGCAGCAGCAGTAGCGACGCTACGAAAGTAGCAGCACTTTCAATAGGAATAGTAGTAGTAGTAGTAGTAGTAGTAGTAGTAGTAGTAGAAGTAGTAGGAGAGTAGCACAGCGGCCGTAGTAGTAGTAGTACAGTGGTAAGCAGCAGCAGCAGCAGTAGTAGTAGTAGTAGTGGTAATAGTAGTAGTAGTAGTAGTAGTAGTAGTAGTAGTACTACAGCAATGGCTTGCCCGCACCACTGCTACGGGCGTTGACGCACGTGATAGGCGCCGCTTGGACCTGGTCATCTATGGCGTTTCCCCTTGGGGGGAGGCGCTTTGCCGTGACGCCACGCTTGTGTCGCGGTTGGCTCGCCCGGGGGCGTCGGAAGAGGACGGGGCGGCCCTGTCTGCGGGCGGCGTAGCGACGGAAGCCAGCAACCTACCCTGAGTCGCTTGCCCAAGGGCCACAGCGCCTCCTGGTCCTTGGGCTCCAAGTTCGGTGAGAGCTGGAGTGATGGTGCCCTAGGGCTCGTCGGGGGCCTTGCGCGGTGTCGCAGCTTGCGGGCCCCCGCTGCCGTGCGCAGGCCTGCGGCTCAAGGTTGGCAACGACGCTGGTGGGCGCAGCTTTCGGTCACAGTACGGCAGGCCGTTGGGTCCACCGCCTTGGGCCCCGCGTGGCCGGCGCCGTCGCAGTGCGCCAGCCTGCGCGAGCCGCCGCTCGAGCGCGTGCTCTGGGTCGCCTGCCGTGCCTTGGCGACCGGGGTGCTATTGCTGACGTTTCACTCAAGGGGGGCCGCGCTTGCTGATGTTTCACCCGAAGACCAGCTGAGAAAAACAATGCGGCAGTAGCAGTAGTAGTAGTAGTAGTAGTAGTAGTAGTAGCAGCAGGAGTCGTAGTTGTAGTCGTAGTAGTAGCAGTCGTAGTCGTAGTAGTAGCAATAGTAGTAGCAGTAGCAGTAGCAGTAGCAGAAGTAGTAGTAGTAGTTGTTGTTGTAGCAGTTGATTAGGAATACTAGTACTAGTAGCGGTAGCAGGAGTACTGGTACTAGTGGCAGTAGTAGCACTGCTACCGCGCTAACTGTCCTCCACAGTAACTTAGTCGCCCCCCTCGGTTCCACCCTGCCTTGTTAACTTCTCTGGCGCACCTACTAACTTGCTAACTTACTAACTTGCTAACTGGCTAACTTAGTAACTTACTGACTCATTCTACCTGGCGCATCTACTAACTTGCTAACTTGCTAACTTGATAACTTGCTAGATTGCTAATTTGCTAACTTACTAACTGCCGCATGCTGACTTACTAACCGCCCTTTGCTCCAGAGTGCACCGGATACTAACTTGCGAACTGCCTTCTCAGCACATGGTCTGGAAACATGTGTTTTTGATCCTGATATTTTTCCTTGATCCTAAACTGATTTCTTTTATATGCGTATGCCCTGAAGGACCTGCTTCTTGGCACAGTTTGCAAAAGATCCATTCCATGATGTTCATTTCGCAAGCTAACGCTTGGACTTGTTCCCACAGCCTTCAGTCAAGCCTACTAATTCAGCGATTTGCATTTAGCATTACTGCATTGCCCGCTGATTCTTCGACTATTTGACCCTCCAGACTCCAAGTCCGCTTTGAACCTGAAGCACAGCTTCCTGCAAACTTCCCGCGTCAAATGGTCACAACGAGCTGGTTCCAGAGATTCATTTTCGACCAGTGGCCTTAAAGGACATCAGTTCGCGATCTGTAAGCTAAGGCCTCATGGGTGGAACATCCGCCAAAATGGCGTGGTGGTTTCAGGCATATCACCTACCCCAGGCTACAAATTTGATGTTTCATGCCGGGTTGCACGCTGGGAAGCTGCTTCCCAGCAGCTCTCGCAAACGCTCCTGGTTCGGCCCATTAAAGCCCACAGATCGCGCATAGCCTGGCTCTTCGAAGAACTTCCACCAATCCGCAAACTTGAACTTCTCTAGCACATGGGGCAAAATGTAAAGGCCTGCGCAGGGTCTGAGATTGAACCCGCACTTGGAACGCATGTCGGCAGATTCAATTTGTTTTTTTTGAGACACGGCACCTGCCTGAACGCCCACTGAAGCCAATCGGCTGTGGAGGTTCCACCAGTTTGTTTATCTCCTCCTGGTGCCCTGAAGCTTGAGTCAGAAGCCAGCTCTCAAGATCTGCCTCCCAAACACCTGAGCGTTTCTGAGCACAGGCGAAGTGACTGAGGCAACCACCGAACCACCAACCACCGGTTGACACCCCCAAAGTCCCAGGCTTTCCGGCAACCGTCTTGTTTAGACCCATGCACCCACAACCCTGCCTGCTCTCAAGGTCTCTTGCAACTTGGCGTATTCTTTGCTTCGCTCAAGGCTCCTGAGTCCGAGCAGCAAAAGAGAAAGTCCTCCTGGTCTCGATGCGAATGCACACCACACACACGAGACAGCTCTAAGGCATCTGCGGCAGCTGTACAGTTTCCACTCGATACCCCAGCCATTCCTTCAGAATGAAGGCTGCCGCCGTGGTCACCAGCCTGTGGGAGGTCCAGTCCTGCGAAGCAAAGAGAGAATGCCTCATGGGTCTGGAAATGCGACACCGCCCTCCTGCAGAAGAAGTCGAATTGTGGTCTCCGAGCGGTCCTAGGCGGTCAATTGATCAACGCCAAAGCTTTGGCGTTGCGCACATGCCCTTTCGCAGAGCCAAGCGTCGACCTGCCCGGCTTCTCCTTGGGAGAAGCACCTTGGCTGAGCCAAGCTCGCCACACCAAAACAGGCGAAAACATTTTACGCAGCTGCGCTCTTCTGTTTGCAGGTGCGTAGCTGGGCATCGAAAACCTCTATGGTGTGCTCATTTTGGCTTTCACCACCGAATGCCAAGAGCAAAAGACCTGGTATGGCATAGGCAAGTGCTCAAGTGCCATACCCCTGCTCTTCACAATCACGATCCGGCCTAGGACCTGACGCGCCCAAAGCGGCCGCATTCATGAATTGCGACGCGTGCGGCACGAAACCGGCAACAAGAACAGCAAGCTGCTTTCTGCTAAGGTCTGCAAGTGGTAAAGTCGTCATAATGTCGAAGCAGCGCTCTCACTCCCGCACTCTCATTTTGAGCTGTTTTGGTAACATCATGGAATCACATCTCGCAATGCGCTTGAGCCCATCAGAAGATGGAGAAGTTGCGTGGCAGCACCCCAACCAGCACAGGCCCGTCACGGGGATGAGCGCGCGGCACCCCCTTGCCTGCTCATAGACAGCTTGCGTGAAGAGGCGCGATGGTCGACACAAGAAGCCAATAAACCTGGGTCAGTCAGGCGAACAACAATGACAACTAGAGAACCTAGAAGATGACAATGATACCAGTACCGTTGAGGAAGACTGTGGCAACGATGTGGTAGCGGGGGGCAGTGGTGGAATTGGCAAGTGGGAACGGGGCGGCAGGTGGCAACTATGGCACTGGGGATGGCAGTGCTGGTGATGGCTGCGGTGTCACCAGCAACCTTGGCAGCAGCAACAATGACAGAAGGTGGCAATGCTGCTGCCTGCAGTGGCGGTGGCGCTAGTCTCTGTAACAGTCAGGGTTGAAAATTCAGCCCTATGCCGCAAGTTGCGGCTGGTCCCCGCCTGAGCAACTCTGAGTCCCTGCATGTTTGTCTGGGTGAGGGGCTCGGGCTATGTCAGGTTTAACAAAAGGTTTGACATTGCACGATGGAAAATGGCGGGTGACTTCGTGCGAATGCACATGCAAGATCGCCTGGCAGAGCTTGCAGTCAGCAACGGCCATTTACCAGCTCCTGGAAGGCCCCCCCCCCCCGGAGCTCCTTGGCCCCTTCTTTAAGAGGAAAACTTGGACACCCCCAGCTCCTTGGCTCCCCAACCCACCAGCTACCCCCAACCACCAGCCAGCCTCCCCAAGATCAAGGGAGACCACCTGACCCATCTGCCTTTTGGCCAGGCTCCGGGCGATCGCGTTGGATAGTCCTGGACCTGGAGACTCACGGCGTGTAGAAACTTGTAGCCCAAAAACGCGCGGAACCAGCAGACCTGGGGGGAGCTCTTGATTCCCCATCCATGTGGCTGTGGCTCCTGGGTAAGTGCCAAAGACTAAAACCCGCGTAACCCCTAGCTCTTTAATTTTGAACCACACCCATTTGTCAAAGCAGCAGGGTCAACCTTGGCGCAATGCCCCCTTTTGGCTGGCACCGCGAAGGGGGCGTTTTCGAGCGCCAAAGCGCCAGAGCGCCAGCCCTGAGCACACGGCCCAGGCATAGCTTTGATTCAGCGGCAGCCAACACCTGTGGGACATGTTAGTTTCAGGGAGACCCTGCATAGCTGCAAAGCTTTGACCGGAACAAACGTGACCCTGCCATTCGCACATCCGCAAGCCCTAGCAAACTGAGGCACTGAGGCATTCGCCGACTGCTGGTGTTGTAGTTGCCAGGGCAAATCCTCAGAGCTGCGGACTTCAGGTGCCAGACCCTGGAGCAAATAAATGGTCTATCAAACTGAAGCGGCAAGAAACAAGTGAGCGGTTTGAATCATTGCAACGCCCAGAGGTGAAGACAAGCTCCCGTTCTTAGCTTCTGGCCCAACACAAATGGGATTTGCCATGTCAAGCCTGGCCCAAACAATCAATGCACCGCACGCTCACGCACGAAGCGGCTGTCAAGAGAACAGGCAACGCCTCTTGTCATTGCCCTCGAAGGCCCACTGGCTGTTCTGGCGCATGGCCGGCGAAGCACGAGACCCACATCCACTTAGCGGCATTTTCGGCTGAACGCGAACTCAACGAACGTTTTGCCGGCCTGCTGCATGCAAAAGTACAGGAAAGGCTTTTCCTGCCACAACCGCGTTCATCACGTGCACGCAAACTTGCCGAACCTTGAAGAGGCGCATTGTTTGCGTATTTTGCCACCGCCAGTCCCACATAACATTAAACGATCCAAAGAATGGCTTTATGCCAAAAGCGGAAGCTCCAGTTGCTAGCTGAAGAAGGCCAGGCGTGCCCGATTCAAGCCATGACCGCAAAGGTTTCCATTGCGGTCTGGCAGTGACCTGGCAGGAAAGCCATTGGAGAGAGGGCGAAGCGCGGATAAATGGGGGAAGCGAGCCCTTGCGGGGCAACAGCTCACAACCAAAGCCACGTTTCACGGGATTTTGAGGCACGCGGCAGCAAAGTGCTGAGGTCCCCGTTCTGCAAGGCCTTGGGTGCCAAGGTGCCAATGCACCCGGAAAGTTTGCAGCCGTGCAGTCTGCCCGGGTGCCATGCATAACTGGACACATAGACAAACAGCCCGAGGCAAATCACAAAGGGGATGATCCAACAAGCGTCGGTGCACCTGGCGCTGAGTGACCCCGACGCTCAGGTGCCAAGTGCCAACCCCCGTGAAAGCGCTTGCTGCTGACCAAGGGCGTGTGACATCATTTTCACGAAATGAACCCGCCCTTTTTTGCTCTTCACACCGAGTCAGTCGCCTAAGGCGGCTTTGCCACGAGGCTGCATTTGCAAACCCATCAATATGCGCATTTCACACCTGCCTCGGTGCTTGTGCACCATCCCACTGATATGGTCAATGCGTGCCGGCTGCCCCAATTCAGGGTGGAAATGCATTTCTACGACTCTGCTCCTACAACGGGCAATCTGCTACAGTCGGGCAGCACTGGTGAGGAAGCTGTCAACCTCGAGAAAACACAGCATGTTTCCGGACCTTCTGTTAGCAGCCCCTTTCCTTAGCCAAGGCACGTCATTGGCTCGCAGATTTATGATTTGACTGGCCAGCACCTGCGCAGAAGCGTGAGGCAAACAAACAAGCACTGGCAAGCTGCTTGGTCACATTTCGCCATATGTCGAATGTGCCCAAACAACTTCCATCTTCCAAAGGTGCAAAGCTTGAAATCCAAGGTACTGGTCCGATCTCACCGCACCCAGGCCTTTTCCCTCCCGCCCGTGCCGAGCACCTCCACCAGCACTGTGGGCCCCAGGTCCGTGTCGGGAAAGGCGCACAGCACCAGGGCCTTGGCCTCCTCCCTCGGGGGTTGCCTCAAGGCGAAGCCTCTCTCCGCAAGAGCCGCAAGGACTTCATGAGATCTGGCGTGAACACCACAAAAAAGAAACATCTCTAGCACCGTCCATTGCAGAAAGCAAACTTGATGAGAAACTCCCCATCATCTCGTGTGGGTGGTTCATGACGCCGCCCCACAAAGAACCAAAGTCTCGGAGCTAAGAGATGGAGCCGCCCCGACGGCAGACTCCAAACCCAAGGGCCGCCCAGGCCGAGGCGCCTCCGAATGACCTCTCCGTCCTCGCCCCTCACCGACTTCACGGCGTTCTGCCACAAGGTCTCTGCCAATGGCTGCAGTTCGGAAAGCCTGTCAAAGAGCGGGGGGGAGGGGGGTCTGACCTCGGTTGCGTTCTGCTCCCCTGCTAAAAGTTTGACTGTTTGTGGTTTAATGGGAAAACCCATTAGTTGGCAAAAAGCTAAAGTCCTAACATCCAAGCAACATGCACCAAAGTGACATGGTGCAGCCTGCCGGCTACAAGAAGGAACGGGCCGATGACGGACGGCCGCCAAGAATCGCAAAGAGACCGCGCCTTGCATCAGCAGCATGGGCGTAAGGCCTGCGAGCGAGCTCTGTTCGGATGACAGCTATGCTCCCACCAAGCAAAAAGTGCCCCAGCCCCATGGCTTGCCATCAAGCAGCGTCTCTGACTCATCCTTGCAGAAGGCCAAGTAGCGGACCCAAAAGCACAGCAGCACCACCAAAGGCTTCACCGCGGCAGTGTCCATCTTGGGAAGGAAAGGCAAGCAGCTCATGCCTTGGCTTCAAAAAGCCCGCTGTGCATACCTGATGCACGCCAACAGACTGATGTACGGTAAGAGCATATGCCCCTGAAACAACAGCTATTCTAGGCCCGGTACCGGGAGCCAGCCCGGAAATCAACCACATACCCTCCCCAGGGCCACGGGGTTCAAACCTTGAAGCAAACTGCATGCACCAGGGGGGCAAAGTGACACTCCGGAGAGAATGCAGCACCACGCTGTTTTCTTTATCAATCACAACTCTGTTGGCCCAAGAATGGCACAACCGCCCAAGTGGGCACCCACAGCGCTTTCTGCAAAAAGTGAGTGCCTAAGCCCAATCCATGTCGAATGCGACTTCACGCTGTTTTGACCCTCGGCCAAAAGACAAAAAGAAGGAGAAAAAAAAGGCACACGATGGGGCGAAGAACTTCCCACCAATAGCACCAAACAGCAGGGCTGGGGCATCTCTCGCTCCTCGCCGGGATGCAGTTGCGGTGGAGCTTGCTGCACCCATCCCGCGCCAGGTCCAGCAGCTCTTCACCGCTCTGTGACAGCCGATGCTTGGTCACCTCCTCTCGATGTCTCGATGCGCAAGATCGCTCATTCGTTTCACACTGATTCAGCGCAGACAGGTGGAGACAAAACAAGGGAGGCAGGAGACCTTGCCCAGCCCAAACAAGCAGATTTTGCGGTACAACTGGGACTGGTGCCTTGTAGCTGGCCAAGTCTAAGGCAGGTGGGGGCTGCACAGCGTGCTCCATCACCACCTTGGCTAGGGGCTGACATTTTGGATGCAATGGCTGCTCTGCACGGGAAACCAGAGCAAGGGAATGAAGAAATGCCTGCGGCAGGAATTTGACCAAACAAGATGACGCTCAGCACTTGTCGAACCCATTACACCAAACCTGACCACTTTCGGCAAGAAATCCGCAAGCAGTACTTCTGCAAGCTGGCAGCTGCCAGGTATTTGTCTAGGAAGTCCGCAAGCACCTGATTCGCGCAAGCCTCCTGCAGCGTCCGGAAGCCCCGAAGCAGCCCCGCATATGCGATTGCTTGCCTGGCACCTCAGGAACACAAGGCGCAAGGCATGCTGCAAGTCCTGTGCTGACATAAAAAGGTATAACATATGCAGCATGTCCAACCTGGTGCGGGATTTTCGGATCTGCAAGCAAAAATTGGGGGCTATAAAGTCGCGCACCGGGGGGTCTTCTCTTGTGGCGCCTTCGAAGACCTTCACCTGCAGCTCCGCAAAGGGCGCAGTGTCCTCCACGAAGAGGCAGCGCTCGTTCAGCACGCTGTCGAAGGCCGGCCGCCCGCCCGGGAACTTGTCCTCGGGCGGCCGGACTCCCACATAAATAAAGTCGTTCTAGCCTGGTTTTGTTGTTTGATTTCCTCGGCGTGTCGCAAATTGTTGGTCTAAACAGCTGCCTCCCGAGCCTCAAGCCCACCTCCCCACTCCTCCAACCACCATCGCACAAAGGGCTCGCAGGCGATGGGCCGTCTGTCCGCCACACCAGAGGACGACTGCATCTCCTGGAAGGGCCAGCACAAACGGCAACAAATCGAATCAACCAATCCTTTTGCAAACCCTGCCATCCTCCATCAGCGCCGGAGTCATCTTGTACATGATACGTTCGCCTGGTGGCACCAATCACCAGAGAGCTTTTGGGATTGCACAAGCTCACAGTTTGCTGGGAAGTGGGGCGCATGGAGGAAAGTTGGATGCAACCGAGACACAAACAGAGCCGGGAAACCCCCATTGTTCGTCAATGTACCTGACGGCCAGCCAGTGAAACCAAGCATGATCACGCATACTTAAATCGAACGCATCCCGCCAGCATTCCTGGCCGCATCTGAGATATGGCCGAAAGCTCCCCACAAGCAATCTGCATGCGCAATTTCTTTGGGGAAGCCAAGCCTGCCACTGCCTCCTCCAGCCTGAACTCAAAAGGCTTCACATTCCGCACCAGACAACCATCGCCCTGCCAAACAGATATGCCCAAAGGACCAAAGGGCCAAAAGGCCAAATACCGAGCCTCACGCCCGCCCCCACTCCGACCGAGATCTTTCGAGCTGCTGCGAAAGCTCCGGGCCAAAGGCCCTGGCAGCGAAGGCCATAGGCACTGCCCGGGAGCTGCCAAGCCTCGGGCAATGCCATGCCAAGCCGCAGGCATGGTGCCCACAAACCGGAGAAAAAAAGGACCACAGCTGGCTTGCCCAGTGGAATTCAGATCGCACTGTTCCAAGATAATGACAAGAGTCTACCAAATCCACACGAACACACCTGGTGCGCAGGAAGGGGGAATAGGAAGTCCCAGTCGCGAAGTTGCGGAGCGTGCTTTGCCATCACAGGGGTTACGTCGAACATAGAGTAATGACCATGACAGATTTGACTGATTCAACTGCAAGAGCTAGAGGTGTTCAATTCCGCCTGAATCGAGACATTTATTGTGTTTGGCGGGGGGAAAGGCAACCCTGCGCAACCACATTCTACTACACACGAGCACGGCCTTCAGCTGGCCAGAGCCAGCTTCATGAAAAGGTTCCCGGCTTCAAGCTCTCTCTTCAGAATTGTTGCCATCAGACGAGTCGAAGCACACTCGAACTAAAGGGAAAACAATCGCATGCACATCTCCATACCCCTTGCTTGCCCCGTGCAAAAAGCCAAAGCATACCGCCCTCCGTAGACTACGAAAAGAGGCCAGGCCTCAAATGGGATTCAAACGCGTGCCCATTGCCTGTAGAAAGCAAGCAAAGCAAACAAGCAAAGCAAGCAGGCAAAGCGAGGAAAGCCAGCAAAGCCACAAGAAGCACCTCAGCAAAGATTCCTCAACCAGCTCGTAGAGTTCACCGGTTTCTCGGTTTCCCGGTGGCTTCCCGTTTGCAGCACAGGCGCACTGCTAGGGGCGGCGCCTGGGCCCTTCGCCGCAGCAGCGCCGCTGCCGCAAGGTACGCCGCGGCGGTGCGCAGGGGGTGGCTGTAGAGCCCCTCGGGGCCTCGGCTTTTGGGAACCGGGACACGGCGTGCACCAAACATCTGCTCCCTTAACATTGGAGGCACTACACACATTGTTAGATACATGTGTACAATACGCGTACATACATACACACATACATACATTACATTACACTGCATTGCGTTACATTACACTACATTTCATTTCATTGCAGTACATTACACTACATTTCATTTCATTGCATCACATTACATTACATTGCGTTGCGTTGCATTACATTTCATTACATTACACACATTCATACATTACATTACACTGCACTGCGTTACATTACACTACATTTCATTTCATTGCATTACATTACACTACATTTCATTTCATTGCATTACATTGCACTACATTTCATTTCATTGCATTACATTACATTGCATTCCATTGCATTGCATTACATTTCATTACATTACACACATACATACATTACATTACCCTGCATTGCGTTACATTACACTACATTTCATTTCATTGCATTACATTACACTACATTTCATTTCATTGCATTACATTACATTACATTGCGTTGCATTGCATTACATTACATTACAGTACATTGCATTGCGTTGCATTACATTACACTACATTACACTACATTACATTGCATTACATTGCATTGCATTACACTACATTACATTACACTACAGCACATTACGTTGCATTGCGTTGCATTGCATTGCATTACATTACATTACACGCATACATTACATTACATTACATTGCATTGCATTGCATTACATTACATTGCATTACATTACATTATACATTACATTGCGTTGCATTGCATTGCATTACATTACATTACATTACAACACATACATTGCATTGCATTGCGTTGCAGTGCATTGCATTACATTACATTACATTACACACATACATACATTACATTACCTTGCATTGCATTACATTACACTACATTACATTACACTACATTACATTACACTGCATTGCATTGCATTACAAACATACATTGCATTGCGTTGCATTTGCATTACATTACATTACAACACATTACATTGCATTCCATTGCATTGCATTGCATTACATTACATTGCAACGCATTGCATTGCATTGCGTTACATTACACTACCTTACATTCCATTGCATTACATACATACATACATACATTACATTACATTGCATTGCATTGCATTGCCCTACATTACATTACATTACATTAAGTTACATTGCATTGCGTTGCATTACATTACACCACATTACACTACATTACATTGCATTACATTGCATTGCATTGCATTCCATTACATTACATTGCATTGCATTACATTACACCACACACATACATACATTACATTACCTTGCATTGCATTACATTACACTACATTACATTACACTACATTACATTACATTACATTGCATTGCATTGCGTTACATTACATACATACATTGCGTTGCATTGCATTGCGTTACATTACAATACACTACATTACATTGCATTGCATTGCATTGCATTGCATTATGTTACATTACATACATACATACACACATTACATTACATTGCTTTGCGTTGCATTACATTGCATTACATACATGCATACATTACATCACATTGTATTGCATTGCATTACATTGCATCGCATGGCATTCCATTACATTCCATTACATTACACTACAGTACATTACATTGCATTGCGTTGCAATGCATTGCATTACATTACATTACATTACACACACATTACAGTACATTACATTGCATTGCATTGCATTGCGCTGTATTACATTACATTACATTACATTGCATTGCGTTGCATTGCATTACATTACATTACACTACATTACATTACATTACATTGCATTGCATTGCATTGCACTACATTACATTACATTGCATTGCATTACATTACAATGCATACTTACATTACAGTACATACATACATTACATTGCATTGCGTTGCATTACATTACATTACATTACTTTGCATTGCATTGCATTGCATCACATTACCATTCATACATCGCATTACATTGCATCGCATTGCATTACATTGCACTACATGACATTACATGACATTACATTACATTGCATTGCGTTGCATTACATCACACTACATGACACTACATTACATTTCATTACATTGCAGTGCATTGCATTACATTACATTACATTACGTTACATTACATTGCATTGCATTGCATTACACTACACGACACTACACCACACTACATTACATTACATTGCATTGCATTGCAATACATTACGTTACATTACATTGCATTGAATTGCATTGCATTGCGTTACATTACACTGCATTACATTACATTACATTACATTTCATTGCATGGCATTACATTACATTACACAACATTACATTACATTTCATTGCATTGCGTTACATTACATTACATACACATATTACATTGCATTGCATTGCATTGCATTACATCACATTACATTACATTGCATTTGCATTGCATTGCAATACACTACATTACGCTACATTACACTACATTACATACATGAATTACATTACATGACATTACATTACATGACCTTACATGACCTTACATTACATTACATTACATTACATTGCATTACATACATGCATACGCTACACTAGACTACATTACATTACATTACATTTGCATTGCATTACATTACATTACATACATGAATTACATTACATGACATGACATGACATGACATTACATACAAACACACATTAAACTACATTACACTACACTACATTACATTACATTACATTGCATTGCATTGCGTTACATTACACTACATACATCCACCCATTACATGACATGACATTGCGTTGCATTACATACATACATTGCATTACATTACATTACATTACAGTACATTACATTACATACATACATATATACATACAAACATACATACATACAAACATACATACATACATTACATACATACATACATTACATACATTACAAGCATACATACATACATACATACATACACACATACATACATTACTTACATACATACATACACACATACACTACATACAGTACATACATACATTACATACATACATACATACATACATACATACGTACAGACATACAGACATACAGACATACAGACATACATTACAAGCATACATACATTACATACATTACATACATTACATACATTACAGACATTACATACATTACATACCTCCATCCATACATACATACATGCATACATACATACATACACTACATTTCATTACATTAGATTACATTACATTACATTACATTACATACATACATACATACATTACATACATTACATACGTACATTACATTACATTACATTACCTTACATTACATTAATACATACATACATACATACATACATACATTACATACGGACATACATACATTACATACAAACGTACATACATACATTACATTACATTGCATTGCATTACATTACATTACATTACATACATACATACATACATACATTGATTACATACATACATGCGTTACAGTACAGTACAGCACGGTACAGTACATTGCATTACATCACATTACATTACATTACCTCATTGCATTACATTACATTGCAGACATACATACATTACATACATTACATACATACATTACATGTTTACATACATACATACATACATACATACATACATACATACATACATACATACATACATACATTACATTACATACATAAATACATTACATACATTACATACATTACATACATTACACACATACATACGTACATACATTACATTACTTACACACATACATAGCATAACATACATACATACATACATACATACGTTACATTACATTACATTACGTTACATACATACATTATATTACACTACATTGCATTGCATACATTACACTACATTACATTGCATTGCATTGCATTACATTACATTACATTTCATTGCGTTGCATTGCATAGCTTTGCATTGCATTGCATTACATTACATCGCACACATACATACATTACATTGCATTGCATGGCATTACATTACACTACACTACACTACATAACATCACATTGCATTGCATTACATCACATTACATTACATTGCATTGCACTGCGTTACATTACACAACATTACATTACATTATGATACATTACATTGCATTGCATTGCATTGCATTACATGACACTACATTACATTACATTACAATACATTGCATGTGTTCTTT